TTAAACATGTTTTAATTGATATACGATTATGTATGTTAATTTGATAAAGGTTTAAAATGAAACATTTAAAAGTAAAAGTCGTAAATGAAATTAATTAATTAATTAATTATAAGGGTATAAAATGTAAATTTAAAATTATAATTTAAAAAAAATAGGTTGTGAGATGAGTGAGTGTATGTGAAGAGAGAAGAGGGTGAAAAGGTGAGTATAAAGAGTATTTTGGGTATTTAATTTTTTAAGACTTTAAAATTTTTGTTAAATTTATTTAATAAGATAATATAAATAAATTAGTTCGATTTTGACAGGTGTAAATAATAATAAAAATGGAAAAACATTCTCGTAAAATTTGCAACTATTTAGAAAAAGAAAAGGTAATGGGGTGCAGGGTTTGACGAGTACAAATTGGATYGGATGAAAATGGCGGTGAGATCTCACGCAATTACCAATTACCAAGAAGTGGATGGTGGGTGGGCTCAAATTCAAAAAGTTAATTGTTTTATAACTATTTTTTTTATAGGGATCACTTATAAATGTTTTATAACTCTTTTTTAATTTTAATTTTAATTAATTAATAATTTATATATGTAAATATTCAAAGCTACAAAGATGAAATAATAATAAAAAAATCATTAAAATGAATTAATTGATAAATCAACAAATAAAGTATAAAAAATTTAAAAATATTATAACTATAAGTAGTCTGACAATCTTCGTACTTCGATCTAGTCCTTCGACGTGGTATGAACATGGTTGCTTTTACAATTGGGTACACTAACAGTAATTATTACGTGAAAATATCTTTAGTAGAAGAGCACCCGATGCCTTCTATCGTGTCAGATTGRTTTCGTTTCAAATATAGTCTGGATAGTACCTAAATTAAAAATAAATAAAAAAATTGTATATTTTCAACTAATCAATAATAATTATAACTATATAAAACACATTATTCAAAATCAGAAATTTAAAATATTAAAATTTGTTGCACTCATTCCTTAGTGGCCATTAAATGCGCATACACCTTTTTGAAATTGAAGCCCACTCATTATGAATCTTTAAACCAAATATTAATTATTTTATTTTTAATCCATCTCCATCATCTTATCACCCACCGTCCACCTATCCCCCCAGCCCCACCCCCAATTAATTTATCAACTCCAAAACCCCTAAAGAAACATATCTCCATCAAACYTCCTCTGCCGCCTCCCTTCACCCCCACCGCAAAACATCATTGGCTATCCAATTTCAACGCCGGAAAATGCCAGCTTGCTAACGTGCGCCCAAGATCCTATTTTTAAACTTCCTCTGCCRCCATCGAAACTACTTCCCTTTACCCCCACCGCAAAACGCAACCGGAGATCTGCTAAAGTGCGCATTCCATTTGAAGAAGTRAGGAGAAACACCACCAATGAAAGTCCCAAGAAACACCAGTATTAAACATCATATCTTTACAAGAATCAAGGATCTTGATCGGAGGTTGGGTTTTCCGGCATCGGGTTCTTCGTCGTCGTCGTGATCAATTGAAACCTCCACAAAATCTCCCGCTTGAAACCTTACAGTTTCTTGATGAAGAAATCCATCTTTTCTCTCTTCTTCTTCTCCATCTTAAAGTGATCAAGAAATCCATCCCCCATCTTTCTCTCTCTTCTTTTGCTGTTAAGATTCTCTTAAACAAACAAAGAAAATACATATATATGAACAGGTAAGTGAGAAAGACATGTGAAAAACTTTAATATGTTTGATGATTACAACTGTTTTTTGGATTGTTATTGTTGTTATTGAAAGTTGGAAAGAAGAAAGAAAGAAAGAAGAGAGGTTGGTGTTGGTTGCCATCCAGGGAACTCCAAAAATTTGTGTACAAAATTTTATGTACAGAAAAAATGCTACATCGTGTTGGTTGCCTTCTCTTTCGTAGCTTCTTTCCATGACCCTTCTGTATTTTCTTCATTTCTGCCTTTTTGTAGACTTCTTCAAAGATTCGTTTGGTTTTAGTTTGTAATTTCCGGTCGGCTGAGCTATCTTGAACTCCGATCTAAAATCTATATCAATCAACACCCTATCTCCGCCTTCAACGATTACATCTAGGTATTCGTATTCACCTGTGAAGGAAACCTCCATAAGTACAATTACAAACTAAAACCAAACGAATAAACATGAGCTTTCAGGTTGAAACCCATTGAGAATTGATACATAAGCCATTAGGGTCGAAACCCACTATGAACAAATTAAACCACAAGCAAGAGATCGATACCTTGAGTAGAGAATGAACCACCGAGATCGATTGAAGGGGTCCCTAAAGCTACTGAATCGGTAAAAAAAGAAGGGTTACAGAAACAATTAGGTTGAAGCCCAACAGAAATTTCACCTTCAAGTCATAAACAATGGAAGGAAAATTAGTTGAAAGACCTAACTTGAAAAAAAAAAAATATCTTACCTGGACCAAACAACTCACTAACTCGGATTCCATTCAAACAGACCGAGAAGAACATAACTGTGGTTGGGATCGAACAGAGCTGTGGCTTTTCATTCCAAGGAGCAACAGATCGAGGAGACGACCGAGCAACAGATCAAGCAAGGTGGTTGGGTCTGCCGAGATAGAGACGACCGGAGTTGGAGCTATGGGATTCCGACGATGAAGGCGACCAAGAAAGAATGGTTTGAAATGGAGAAAAAGATGAAGGAGAGGGGATGATTTTGAATTTTGAATTTTGAAATTTTGAAATTTGAAATTTGAAAATTTTGAAATTTGAATCAAAATGGTTTGAAATGGTTGAAAAAATAGTTGTACATTGTGCTTTATGACTTGTCTTTAAGAGTTTTTTGAAATTTATGCATAAAATGGCAGTACTTTATGCTTAAAGGGTTGTAATTAAGATAATGGCTTAAATGATTATATATGTAGTTTAGATATATATATATATATATATATATATATATATATATATATATATAAGGAAGGGTTCAAACGAGAACCCCTGTGATTTACGAGAACGCAAGAACAACCCAATAACCTTATATTGTGATAAAAAATAAAATT